ACCACCGCTCCCCGGGTCAGTCGCGGGAGCTTGTGCTCGCAGCTCTTCCCAGAGCGGGGCGTTAGCTTCCAGACCTCTGGGGAGGTAGAATTCGTTAAAATAACCCTAAACTCTTGTGCTGTGTGGCACTAGGGAAGAAGTCTTCCCTCCGTGAATCGTTCTCCCGCTGACAGAGAAGGAGGAGGATCGTCATCCCGGGAACGAGGGACCCCGTGCAGGAGCAGACTCACAGCCCCCGCTCGCTGGGATGGGATGGGATGGGATGGGATGGGATGGGATACCCCCAACTTCAGCCTCTCGGCAAACCGAGCTGCCAAACAGGACAGCGTCTGGGTGATCTCAACGTTTGAAATCCGTTCTTCCGTCTTGCAGATATCCAGAAAATATTACGCCAGAAACCGAAGAGGTAGAGCCCAAACCGATGGTCATTGGCACCAACAATGTTTTCGAAGTCGGGTGCTGTATCCTTGCTGCGCGGTGAGACAGACCCTCTGATACGCCGCGCTTTCGACCGGTACAAGGGGGAGCGCGTGCGGGCTCTGTCGGGGTTTACACAGCCCGGGGCTGTTTAAGGTGCAGGATCTGGGTTTGAAAATGACGTCAGGGTTTACCTTTTGAAATAAAAGCACAACATTTTACAGTTGTCTTTAACACAGCCCCGTAGATTCCCAAGCGATGAAGGTGGGAGATAACAACGTCATCGAATCCAAAGGTGGGTCTCGGCTTATTATCTTGGCCCTTGTGAGATTTTGCTCTTGGCGGGCGCTGGGAACAGCGAAGGGTTACGTGGTGGTGTCTTGCTGTAGCTGAGGCCACACTGCAGCTTGTCACAAAGCCGTGATTTTCACCCAGAACCCACGCGTGTCGCCGCCTTGGTGGGAGCTGGCTCCGAGCAGCTTGTGGTTGTCGCCGTTTGGTGGCGCGGGGCTGACGGGTGCTGCGGGCACGACTCTCACCGGGATGCCCCTCTCTCTCTGGCAGCGTTTGTCGGCAGGAACGTGATCCTGACGAGCGGCTGCATCATCGGGGCCTGCTGTAACATCAACACCTATGAGGTCATCCCCGAAAACACCGTCATCTACGGGGCCGACTGCCTCCGCCGTGTCCAGACCGAGCGGCCGCAGGTGAGTGTGACGGACGGGGAGGGGGGGACAACACACACACACGCCGTCACCCTCCCCTCCCTCGCGGTGGGGACGCTGCCTGACCTCCCTTGCCTCTGTTTCCAGCCCCAGACGCTGCAGCTGGATTTCCTGATGAAGATCTTGCCGAACTACCATCACCTAAAGAAGACCATGAAGGCCACGTCCACTCCTGTCAAGAGCTGAGTGAAGGGAAAAAACAAACAAAAAAAAGCTTTGCTTATTTGCGTCCTGTATTTATATTCCGCTGAGCATCTCGGACCGGCTGTGGATCTGTCGTCTCTGGGGCGCTGACTCCATTGTACGTGCTTTCTTTTGGGAATAAAACGCCACCCGCCTTCCTGTCGGGGGGACTGCAGTCCTGTTGTCCTTTCTGGGCCGGGTAATGGCGCAGGGGTGCTGTACCCTGCTCCTGCAGGCACTGACCTCCCTCGGGCCCAGCCCCGCCCCCCCCC